CATACTCGTTTGCTTTCTTTTCCAACCCTCCACCTTAAATGTTTCAATAAGTTCTTTTTCTCCTTGTTTGATAAAGTCGAGCTGTTCCTAGTTGCTTATAATTGAAAGTCACTAATAGGTGCCAATCCTCATTCTTTAAATACCATGTTATTTAAGTTTGCATCCTTAGCATGAGATTTCTGAGATGTCCACACTACCACTCTGTGTTGATGGGCATGCAGCTGTTGTCAGTTTCCATTCTACTTCTATTTGCTTTTTAAAAATTGGTCATTTTGGTAAAGCCATACCCTCAAAGTCGAAAACTTATTCTCATAGCACTCTGACATATAGTTAAGACTGGATTTAGAATTAAGGAGTGGGCAATTTTAATCTTTTGTAGTTTACACCCAGCTATATTCTAGGTATTGTTACCTCTTAATTCACAAATGTATGATGAGTTTGGAGAGAGGCCTGAGGAATGAAATGGGAAGAGCATTCAGACATGGTACCCTCATCTCTTTATTATTATTACTTTTCGTTAACTTCTGCCTTTATCGTCTAACTCTTTGCTTATTGTTGTGTCTTGTTGTCCAAAGGGGGAAGTGGCTATTTCATCAAGAGTATCAAATGGGATTATCCTCATATATTAATATGACTAAGGCAGCACTGGAATGATATTATTCAGGAAGAAGTGAAGCATACCTTATAAGGCATGGGGTGAGAGAGGGGCGTGCAATTCTTCTATAGATTCGGAATATTTGCTGTTAGCATCAGGGATTTTATTTTTTAATATTGTGTCAGGGAAGTTAAACAGAGGAACATGTGGAGATTAATAATAAACAAATCATTTGCTTCATTTCTGGTGAAAATTTAAGAACGCATCAATCAAAATATTTTCCTCAAAATCCATTGTGTTTTTATAGTACATAAAGACATAAACAACCTTACAGCCACCCTAGAAGCTACTTAGATGACAATATAATACAACTGTTAATCCAAATAATAAGATTATTATTTGAATTATACAGTTGGCCCTACAAAGGGTCCCATCTGTGGATTCAGCCAACCTCGGATGGAAAATATTTTAAAAATACAATAATACAAATAAAAAATGATGCAGTATAACAGCTATGTACATAGTGTTTACATTGTATTAGTTATAATAAGTAATCTAGAGACTATTTAAAATATATGGGAGGATGTACATGAGTTATATGCAAATACAATGCCATTTATATAAGGCATATATTATACCTCCTGTGGATATCAAGGGATGGACTGCACTAATAAACATAAAAGCTGGTCAGTTTACTTTCCTCTGACAACATGTACATTAAATGATTTGAGTTCACATTGTAATATCTGTTTTAATTTTGACATATACCCCTTCATTGGTTCCATTAGGATGCTATCAGAATGTAAATTTCTGCCTCAGTCTCCCTTCCCTTCTCCAAAGGGTGTCCTGATAAATCCACTCCTACCTCTTATGTGGAAACTCTTAATGCCCAGGATGGTTTATTATATTTCTTCTTGAATAAGGACATGCTTTTAAGAAAAATAAAAAGAGTAATCCTTTAAAAAATGGAATGTACTTTCCATGAGCAAATATATTCTATTTGTAGAGAATGATAACCCCCTTATACCAATCACAGTATCCCTCATTTCCAAAGCATTCTAGAATGAGTAATAATCAATATCTGAGTAAAGAAAAAAAAATTCTTTCAATTTAGTTAGATGATTTTAGCTGGCAAAAAAAAAATGTATACAGTTGTTAAAAAATAGATCTTTGGCTTTTAACTTGGGTTTATTTTGCAATTTTGAAAGTGCTTGAGAATTGTTAATGTTAAATTGGTAATTGTTGGGCTCTGAGGGGGTGCAACGTCTTCAGTCTGAGCTTATTACAGTGTAAAATATGGATTGCCTTTACCCTAATGGCCTCTGAATCCTATTACCATCCCATTAGAGAGTGTGGGATTTTTAGTAATTCTGTTGTTGTTTCCAGTGGGCAGTGAATATAATGGGGGAAGGGCAGGGGTTAATGCAATTCGTCTCTTTCAATACTTGTAACTCCAAGTCCCTTATCACTCACTGTGGTTTCATTAGGATTTTTTTCACACTTTTTTTTTCTGTATCTTTAAGGCCCCCAATATTTCTATTTGCCTCTTCTAACCAGAAGAATTGGGGGGGGAGTATGTTGGTGATTCTTAGGTTTCAATCAGATTTTCAATATTGGCTTTTCATAAACTGAAGACAAATAAATAAGGTGGTACGTCAGCTTGTTGTGAAACAGGCTGTAGCTCAGAAAGGTTTTCAGTGACTGTCCTTGTGCCAAGAATAGTATTGAAATAGCTCTTCAATCAAGATCATTTATAAGGCCTTTTGGAAGGAGAAGCATGATACCAGTGGGTCCGATCAATGCACGCTAGTGTTTTGGGTATAATGTTTCCATGTGTTCCTGGAGACAGCTGTGTCCTGGGTGCTCGTGGTGCTAGAGAGAATTGGAAAAGATTTCAAAGTGATAGAAATTAGATTCCTTTAAAGGGAAGTTTATGAGTAATAGTTTATTCCCTGCATCTCCGACATGCTCAGTGGATGTACATGTCTGATTATATATCTGTGCTTTTATTCATGAAATTTGTTTTTAGCTAATACAGCTTTTTTCTAAATAAATACGAACATCAGATTACTCCTCAGTATGTCAAAACAAATTAGTTTCCTACAGTGATGCAATGAAAGGTGTAACTATTTTTCCTTTTTATATGTCAGAAAGCATTACTGGGACTGGGAAATTCCTACTTTTTCCCCTCTTAGCCCATGAGCCTGGTGGTTTGCAAAGGTCTGGTTTAATTCACAAGCATGGGCACCTGGAGCTCCAGCACCTCCCTCTGCTGCCATTAATGGGAATCACATGCTGAGATCCAAAGAGGCAAACACGCTCAGAAAAAGGCTGGGAATGGCAGGAGGTGATCAGACCATTTCAATCTGTTGAAAGTGAGTGATATTCCCAGGGCTTATTGTTCACCTTCTCCGAGAATTAAGTTTCCATATGTTTCATCATAAATGAAATGAGTGTGCAACATAATTGCAATATGAAAGTGTCCACTGGATCATGTAGGAGAAAACTGGTATTGCAGGGGGCGGGGGAGGTAAAGGGTGGGCAGGGAATTCTTCTTGGCTTCCTATTTGCAATATCTTCATTGCTTACCTGGTTGTAGCTAAGAGACTAAGTCCGCTGATGGTGTTTAGGTATAGATAGAATAATTTGCATATTTACATTGAATATTCATGCATCAAGTTTCTCTTTGAGATATCACATCATATTTCTAGACAGACCGTGATAGTATTTCTTTCTTTCCATCAATTGGGTATATTGAGTGAAATTCATTATGTAGCTACTGATACAATTAGTTTTCATTCAAAATGAACTGATCTGAATAAGCATTGTAAAAGGTTATTTATTTCCTTCTTAGTTTTTTATTCTTAGTTATAGACTACCTTTCCAATCCATTTCTGTTCCCACAATCACTCGGGACACTCACACAAAACAACAGCAACAAAAAGAAATAAAAGCTACTGTAAGTATGTACTGATATAATATTTAATCCTTAAAAAAACAGCACACATACACAAGACCATTTGCAGAGTATTACTGAATGCATGGAAAAGACACACAGATAGAACCTATGTAAAATTACTTGCTGTTTTGCAAAAGACAATATGAGGGATGCCAGTTATTCAACAAGTAGAGTGTGGCCTTCTGTTTTTCATTTATGGTTGGGTCCCATTTAATTCATCTTGTCCCTTTGTTCTTGGAACTTTTCTTCAGATCTACTAGAAACATAAAAATCAGATGATACTAATGTTTCTCTCCATGAGGAATGATGTATTATATTTACCATTGTCAGAAAGCCACAGACCTGTCATTTGTTGTCTCTGCACAGTGTTCCCCTTAGTGCACAATATACAAGATATTTAACAATTATTGAATATAATCAAACCGGTAATGCAATTTAACTGTTCATAACACTAGTAGTTTTAGTTTTTAAACTACTACCAGAATTCAAAAAAATGTGAATTGTGTAGCATACTTAAGAATACTGAATATCACATTTATTCCATTTTCCACCCAATGCTTTTAGGGAAATATTTGCTAATAAGTTTATGATAGCAACAGAAATTAGTGTATTTTATTGAAACATATATTCCTAACTATAAAATTAGAATAGTCCTTGCAGGAAATTTTGAAAAATCAGAGAAAAATTAAAGAAAATAAAAATCATCCATAATCCCATACAAATCTGGTTTTTTTTTGACCCACTTAAGCATTTTATAAATTTGAGCTTTTGTTTCTTGCATTAATTATTAGGGTATGAGA